GTTTGGTTTGAAGGACGAGAAGTTGACTTCTATTCCCAGGGAATAAAATCCTTGGAATCAAAGTGGAATAAGTGTATCGAGTTAAAAGGTGACTACATTGAAAAATAAAGTGCTATTTTTCCCCTCGGAAATTTCTTTCTTATTCAGGTAGATAACTTATCGAGTGACCCTCGTACCTCAGTGGGAGGGAACCCCTGCAGAAGCGAGGAGATCCACGCTTTCATCGGTTGTGACGATCAGACGCTCGAGAGAAACGAGGAGGGGAGGCCATGGCCCGAAGGCACTAAAACATGCTTCCTCTGCAGTTCTCTCTCGCCTCTCGTGCGTGACGGTTAGTCGGACGGGGCCGGGGCCACGTCGTGCGACGGTTTGCTTTTGGTTTCACACGGCGAAGTAGAAACGTGCAATACGCGTTCGAGGGTGAGACGTACCGTATTCATTCATTATTCATTCGGGTCCGCATGCTTACCTACGTACTACCTTTCGTGCTGATGCGGTCCAACGCGGGTACGTTGCAGACGCAACGTCCGGGTCCTGGATGCGATACTCAAAGTAGGCATAAGACGACGGCTACGTTCTCCCGGGTCGGGACACACAGCACATCAGGAGGGTATTCTTCCTTTTCTTGTATTCATCTCATCGTGGTAATTGTAAAGTCGTATCTGGTAAATGCATGATTATTACGTTTCGATGGCGATCGAAGCTTCTGGAAAATTTTAAATGCTGGGGTTTTGCACGAGGACGGCGAAGTGTAAACTGACAGGTTAAGAGTTATTACTCTCGGACGAAAAAGCGGTCCCCTTTCGATGAACTTAAAAAGATTGTCCTTGATAATAGTATGGACTTATTGCATCTACGATAACCGGAGAAGGTGCCGTTCATGAGACACGTAGCACGTCCTCGTCCCGCGTTGCCGAGCTGTCACCGTCCCACAAGAGACGGTTCTCCGGCTGCCGGAGAAGCGGTGCCGGATGGTGGCGTCATTAAAGCTCGCCTCAAAACTGGAAATTGAATCACATATGCCGGTTTCTCAAACGCCCATGAGCCCGAAACGATATGCTCATAATAGGATCCAAAAGAAAAGACCCCATCCGTACCATTGGAATCGAGATGAGATTTCTGGCACGCGAATGCCATCTCCCCTCTTGCCCATATGCAAGAGCTCCTTGAAATTTGCTTCCGAAACGCAAGCTCAAATGTTCCAGCTTGAATGAAGGGCACAAGGGTACAAAATATATATATTTTAAGTAATCAATTTTAAAAGTAATTTCAACGTTTATATCTGGTAGATAGTCGAAGTGCGGACCTTTCAAAATGTAACAATTTGGACAGATTGGGCGGATTTACCCTGGTCCCTCTCCTTCCCGATCCAGAGATTTTTGGCTGTGGAGTGTGAATGCCTTCTATTTGGTGACGTTTCTACCAGGTGTCGATTTCACCCGTCACCGCTGGTACGATGGGGTAGTCCACGTTTTCGTCTTTGGTGCCCTTTCCTTTCCCTTTCCATCGATTGCAGGGGATGTTTAGCATGCAATTAGCAGACATCGATCGAGCGCTCGGATGTTATGGCCTTCAGAAATTTCATCTCGGCATTGATTCGCAGGGAAACTTTGGCTCAATAGCGGGAATGATGGGGAAAGAAAAGGAAAATCATCAATCGCCGCCCTCTTCCTCCGTTCCGTGGGTGTTTTGCTTCACTCTTCAACTTGAAACTACACTCGATTTTACTGAATTTTGGGTTTCCGTTCCACTTTTCGTGGATGACATCATTCTGGGCGACCGTCTTTGGGTGATTGGTGGCAAAAAGTTTCAATTTTTTCTTTTTGGAAAAGCCAGAGAACTGGGGTTAGGTCGATCATGTTCATCTGTATCAAATGAACCTGCAACAAGTTGGGAAACCGGGCGGTGTCACCTATGAGGGTCGATCCGTAACGTCTAACTCGGCTTTCACTTAATAGATGTCTCATGGGAAAAATCTCCATTCTCCACATTATCACATAGACCTGGCACTAGGGGCAATATTAATCGATTTGAGTGTCGTCTAGCTCTGTCACAACGGCCGAGATGTAGTACCAGTCCTAGTAGGATGGCAGCAAAGCGTTTTCGTCCGGAAAGAAACTCTAACCCCTAGTGGAACTATGAGAGAAGAGAGATGCAAGCCCATCCTGTCGGTTTGCACCCAAAATTTACGTTCTGAGAACAGACGCTGAAGCAATATATTTTTTCACAATAAAAAAAAAACATTCAATTTCTTGTCATACTGTCATGCCAATGATTATTCCACATGAATATTTTTTTATTTGGACGCTGGGTGAGTCTGAGAGCATCTGGATAACGATATCACCAGATTACTCGTGCAAATTCGGCTCAATTGAAGACTTCCAGGCGCCTTTTTCGAAACCTAAACATTTTTGGTCTCCCTCAAAGAGAAAGAATTTTAATCTGGTCTCTCTTCATGAATTTACATTCGATGTAAAATTATGGATTGTGTCCCATCATTTTCGATATGAGGAGCGGCTTTTCCGAGTATTTTCTTTTGCTGCAGTTTTTCTTTCCCATTCATAAATCTGATATGAGTGAAGTGTCATGGAAATCATGGTGTCTTTTCGTCAAAAGATATATGTTGCTGATTTGGTTCCTTGCAACGGTCGCCTCAAAAATCTCTCTGTTGTCAAGCAGACCTGCCTAAGCGACGATATCAGATCGAACGGCATTGCCCCTAAGCCCTGCAGTTTCCAAGGCCGGAAGTAAACGAGCCTCCGGGGAAAGGAGGGAAAAGTCACGCATCCAAGGAACCCTCGCCAGCCCCAAGCGATTCACATCCGCCCCTTCCTCAGTCAGCTGTTGGGCTGCCTCATGGTCGGTTGTACCGAATATGAGACAGCTCACTTCAGCTGACTTTAGACTACAAGTCCGGTTTTGGCCACTGTTAAAAATTGTCATTTGTATTTCTTCTGCAATTGTTTCTTCTTGTTTATTTTTATCTGTACTTCCCCTCCCAATTCGATAGATTGTATACGTCTTCGCATTCTCATATGAGTTTCATGCCTTTCATTTGCCTTTTCTTATCGTGATGTTGCTTTCCATGTCTTGTATTTTTTTTTATTTTGCTTTATGTTATTTTACTCTTGACATTTTTTTACTAATGCATCATGCTTTCTTCCTTCCATTTAGTAGGGGGACTTCACTCATCATTTCCATCCCCTTAGCCACCCCGTTCCAGCCAGGACACACCAGGTTGGGATGATTCCTTCGATCTGGTTAAAATCCTTGGAATCAAAGTGGAATAAGTGTGTTGAGTTAAAAGGTGACTACATTGAAAAATAAAGTGTTATTTTTCCCCTCGGAAATTTCTTTCTTATTCAGGTAGATACCTTATTGCGTGACCCTCGTACCTCAGTGAGAGGGAACCCCTGCAGAAGCGAGGATATCCACGCTTTCATCGGTTGTGACGATCAGACGCTTGAGAGAAACGAGGAGGGGAGGCCATGGCCCGAAGGCACGAAAACTAGCTCCCTCTGCAGTTCTCTCTCGCCTCTCGTGCGTGGCAGTTAGTCGGACGGGGCCGGGGCCACGTCGTGCGACGGTTTGCTTTTGGTTTCACACGGCGTGAGTAGAAACGTGCAATACGCGTTCGAGGGTGAGACGTACGTATTCGTTCATTATTCATTCGGGTCCGCATGCTGACCTACGTACTACCTTCGTGCTGATGCGGTCCAACGCGGGTACGTTGCAGACGCCAAGTCCGGGTCCTGGATGCGATACTCAAAGTAGGCATAAGACGACGGCTACGTTCTCCCGGGTCGGGACACACAGCACATCAGGAGGGTATTCTTCCTTTTCCATTATTCATCTTATCGTGGTACTTGTAAAGTCGTATCTTGTAAATGCATGATTATTACATTTCGATGGCGATCGAAGATTCTGGAAAATTTTAAATGTTGGGGTTTTGCACGAGAACAGCGAAGTGTAAACTGACAGGTTAAGAGTTATTACTCTCGGACGAAAAAGCGGTCCCCTTTTGATGAACTTAAAAAGATTGTCCTGGATAATAGTATGGACTTATTGCATCTACGATAACCGGAGAAGGTGCCGTTCATGAGACACGTAGCACGTCCTCGTCCCGCCTTGCCGAGGTGTCACCGTCCCACCAGAGACTGTTCTCCGGCTGTCGGAGAAGTGGTGCCGGATGGTAGCGTCATTAAAGCTCGCCTCAAAACTGAAAATTGAATCACAAATGCCGGTTTCTCAAACGCCCATGAGCCCGAAACGATATGCTCATAATAGGATCCAAAAGAAAAGACCCCATCCGTACCATTGGAATCGAGATGAGAAAGGTTCACTCGAGTACCTTATTTTGCTTCGGTACCTTTTCGACGAACGTGATTTCACGTCTAGCCATTAATAGGAGTGTTGTATTTCTTTACCCAAGGAGCGACATGCAAAGACGAAACGTCACGTAAAGTGCACGTACACCGTGCGACCTAGCACGTTCACAAGCAAAGCAACGCTTTCGCCACCCTGCCGTAGCGCTTCACCGCGGACATTCCGAGACGGAACTCCTCAAAAAGGCGATGCCGGTCTTCGTTCGAACCGTGTGAGTCGGCACAGCAGATTTCTTCGCGATCACGGCAATATTTGAACATTTTCTTTAGCCCTCAGCGTTGCGGCCTTCCTTTTGCCCCATCTAAAGTAAGGCGTCCGTCTGCCTCGGCAGTCGGTGCGAGACTAAGGGAGTCGGTAGAAGGAGGCAGAGCTTCTGTTTGCGATCGATCGTACACGCGCGACACACAGACATGTATGAAGACATTCAAGTGTGCAAGTTTCGGAGAGGGAGGTCAATGAGACACTTGCCGAAAGTGAAAAATTGGAGCCAGTAACGGTAACTAGCGGTTATTTGTTTTTGGAAAGGAACGAGTAAGAGCAACCAGTCATTTTTTGGGCAGCGATCGCAACTCTCTCCATATTAATCGCCCTCGAGAATCCCAAAAGGAACTACAAGTCGACATGGGGACGAATTGAAGTAACTTCAATTCCATTTCCCTTTTAACGAGATATGAAGTCTGGACAAACCAAAGTGGAAAGTATTAGATTTTTCTTGAAGTTGGATGTAATTGATGTATACTTCATTATAGAAATATTAAAATTTTAAATACTTAGGAAACAGGTCAAAATCGCAGAAGGATATTGAAAAAGTAATCCAAAGACAAATTTTTCACTGATTCATGTAGCGATGGAAACGTTAAACGCTACTTATTTGATACAGTATCCTATGATGCAAAACCTTATTTAATGGGCAAAAAAAAATTAGTAAAGGCAGGTGTCCACGATTAAGCAAGAAGTTTTTGTCACGTTTAACGCCGAAGTAATTGGTAACTCTGATTTCATGCCGTATTCCTTGCGATAGTGAGACTTGGAAAGGCCCGAAGCCCAAACCCTACGGCAACCTGTCAAATCTTGTCCACTGACGTTATAGGTACTGCTCGAAATCCCTGGATATCGCCACGAAGACACTCATCAGGGTTGATTCACGGCGACGACTTATTCGACATCTCACTTCAGTTGTGGGAACCCTGTTTGCTGGAGTTAACAGCCAGATGGCCAGCGTGGTGCTGATTTATTTCACCTCAGTTAATGACCTTTATAACTCGATCTCGTGCATTGATTGAGTCGATCCCATGAACCATTTCATCTTAATTGTCGACATCTCTGTCGATGAACGCGGTTGTAAACTTTTCCATTCCTGAGTTATGTTTTCGTATAAATAAGGAAAACGTGACAAAATAAGGATTTATCACGTGACAGGGATAAATCCTTGGATCCAATTAAATACGAATGCTAAGCTTCGCCTCTTAGTATTCAGCAGTCAGGCAGCGCGAGCGTTGACAGTCACAGACAAAAAACGAATTTGGATATCTCTCGCTTTTCTCACATGTGCAACATTTTTAAAATTTAATTTTTGTGTGCCTGCGGCTCACATCACTCCCGGCTTCGAATACTCGCTTCAAAATCTGATGGGCAACGTCTTTCCGTTCGTGATGGGAAGTTATTGTGCTCATTCGCCTATTTAGACATTTATTGAAATTCATGATTTCTGGATGCCAATAAAAAATGCAATACAGATCCATATTCCTGAATCGATTCACCCAAATATTATTATGTTTTTACCTATTTCGCAATTTTTTAGCATGTGCATTAAACCCCTCATTCCCATGGGTTTTATTTTTTCGATATTTGCAATTGAAAATATCGCAGATTAGGATCCTGCGAAGCACAACTTAAATCGATCGATCGATCGATCGACTTGCATCGATTTCCCGTTGAAATACGAACCCTTCACGCTTTCTGGCACGCGAATGCCATCTCCCCTCTTGCCCATATGCAAGAGGTCCTTGAAATTTGCTTCCGAAACGCAAGCTCAAATGTTCCAGCTTGAATGAAGGGCACAAGGATGTATAAGTAATATATATATTTTAAGTAATTAATTTTAAAAGTAATTTCAACGTTTACATCTGGTGGATAGTCGAAGTGCAGACCTTTCAAAATTTGGACAGATTGGGCGGATTTACCCTGGACCCTCGCCTTCCCGATCTAGAGATTTTTGGCTGTGGAGTGTGAATGCCTTCTATTTGGTGACGTTTCTTCCAGGTGTCGATTTCACCAGTCACCGCTGGTCCGATGGGGTAGTCCACGTTTTCGTCTTTTGTGCCCTTTCCTCAATGAAACTCCATCGTTTGCCGGGGATGTTCAGCATGCAATTAGCAGACATCGATCGAGCGCTCGGATGTTATGGCCTTCAGAAATTTCATCTCGGCATTGATTCGCAGGGAAACCTTGGCACAATAGCGGGAATGATGGGGAAAGAAAAGGAAAATCATCAATCGTCGCCCTCTACCTCCGTTCCGTGGGTGTTTTGCTTCACTCTTCAAGTTGAAACTTCACTGTATTTTACTGAACTTTGGGTTTCCGTTCCACTTTTGTGTATGACATCATTCTGGGCGACCGTCTTTGGGTGAATGGTGGCAAAAAGTTTCAATTTTTTTCTTTTTGGAAAAGCCAGAGAACTGGGGTTAGGTTGATCATGTTCATCTGTATCAAATGAACCTGCAACAAGTTGGGAAACCGGACGGTGTCACGTATGAGGGTCGATCCGTAACGTCTAACTCGGCTTTAACTTAATAGATGTCTCACGGGAAAACCCTCCATTCTCCACATTATCACATAGACCTGGCGCTAGGGGCAATATTAATCGATTTGAGTGTCGTCTGGCTCTGTCACAACGGTCGAAATGTAGAACCAGTCCTAGTAGGATGGCAGCAAAGCGTTTTCGTCCGGAAAGAAACTCTAACCCCTAGTGAAACTATGAGAGAAGGGAGATACAAGCCCATCCTGTCGGTTTGCACCCAAAATTTACGTTCTGAGAGCAGACGGAGAGGCAATATATTTTTTAACAATAAAAAAAACCAGATTCCATTTCTCCCTTCATAAATTTACATTGGATGTAAAATTCTGGATTGTGTCCCATCATTTTCGATATGAAGAGCGGCTTTTCCGAGTATTTTCTTTTGCTGCAGTTTTTCTTTCCCATTCATAAATCTGATATGAAGTGTCCTGGATAGTGTCTTCTCGTCAAAAGATATATGTTGCTGATTTGGTTCCTTGCAACGGACGATTCAAAAATCTCTCTGTTGTCAAGCAGACCTGCCTAAGCTACGATATCAGATCAAACGGCATTGCTCCTAAGCCGTGCAGTTTCCAAGGACGGAAGTAAACGAGCCTCGGGGAAAAGGAGGGAAAAGTCACGGATCCAAGGAACCCTCACCAGCCCCAAGCGATTCACATCCGCCCCTTCCTCAGTCAGCTGTTGGGCTGCCTCATGGTCGGTTCTCCCGAATATGAGACAGCTCACTTCAGCTGACTTTAGGGTACAAGTCCGGTTTTGGCCACTGTTAAAAAATTGTCATTTGTATTTCTTCTCCCATTGTTTCTTCTTGTTTATTTTGTCTGTATTTCCCCTCCCATTTCGATAGATTGTATAAGACTTCGCGTTCTTATATGAATTTCATGCCTGCCATTTGCCTTTTTTTTATCGTGTTGTTGCTATCCATGTCTTGTATTTTTTGCGATTTTGCTTCATGTTATTTTACTCTTGACATTTTTTACTAATGCATCATGCTTTCTTCCTTCCATTTAGTAGGGGGACTTCACTCATCACTGCCATCCCCTTTAGCCTCCTCGTTCCAGCCAGGACACACCAGGTTTGGTGAAGATTCCTACGATCTGCTAGTTTCTCTTCCCATTGCTGGAGTTGTCAAATTGTGATGATTTTCCCTTTCCTTTTCCTTAGTTCGAGAGAGGACGTCGGGACCTGGAGGAGCCATTTCAAGAGGACGACAATTCTTCGCCGGACCTCACCTATCTCCAGCGTCGAGGTCTCATTTAACTTTTGATGATTTTCCCTTTCCTTTTCCTTAGTTCGAGAGAGGACGTCCGGACCTGGAGGAGCCATTTCAAGAGGACGACAATTCTTCGCCGGACCTCACCTATCTCCAGCGTCGAGGTTTCATTTAACTTTCATTTCCATTTCCTATTGTATTCTTTTTTTCAATTTAGTGAATTTTTCTTTCATTTTCATTTGCTTACTTGCACCCACTAACAATGTCCCTTTACCCTTTCCCCACGTTAATTTAACTCTTTCCTTCTCAGTTTTTCCCGTTAAAATATTTTACTCTTGACATTTTTTACTAATGCATCATGCTTTCTTCCTTCCATTTAGTAGGGGGACTTCACTCATCATTTCCATCCCCTTAGCCACCCCGTTCCAGCCAGGACACACCAGGTTGGGATGATTCCTTCGATCTGGTAGTTTCTCTTCCCATGGCTGGAGTTGTCAAATTTTGATGATTTTCCCTTTCCTTTTCCTTAGTTCGAGAGAGGACGTCCGGACCTGGAGGAGCCATTTCAAGAGGACGACAATTCTTCGCCGGACCTCACCTATCTCCAGCGTCGAGGTTTCATTTAACTTTCATTTCCATTTCCTATTGTA